TTTGGGGGAAGGGGGGGGGAATGGTTTTGGAAAAAAAAAAATGGAGGGGGATGGTGTTTCAAGTCACAAAACAGAAGTTAGTTTGTTAAAAATCAACATCGAACAATCTCTACTTGTAACTGATTTGTAGCTAAATTATAGTGCATTTAATCATAGAAATATTCATTTTACATTGTTGACAACTAGGTCTCATATCTCAATATTTTTGAAGATCTTGTGCTATTGTACGAACTATTATAATGATTGTTAGTATACCACCACAAGAAAACCATCAATTGAAATTTCGGTGGGTGTAAGAAACTTTTAAATGATCCGTTTTTTTCTGTCCGTTTTATTTAATTGGTTTGATTTACACAAATAATTCAACATAAGTGCTTTGGCGATGCTCAATCCTTGAGTGATGAGGGATGCGCTTGCGCAGTCGCACTCAACGTGATATTGTGTGGTTGAGTGTGAGCCTCGTCTATATGATATGGCATGAGCTCTTTAAACCAGTGTTGTCTAGCATCCTAGATGTCTCTGACACCAAGTTACCCATTTTGGAGGGATGGGGGACATTGTAGTCCGAGTGCTGGCACACATGTGTGCACTGTTCGTGCCTGTACATTACTGTGGCACTTCCCCTGTTAATAAATTATTTTGTGACATAATATGTCAGTGATATGGTTCGTCGAGTACTTTTATTAACTATTCTTTTGAATTTTTGTAAAATTGTTGCTCAGAAGAAGATTTTTCTTTGTTTAACAGAGTTCTCTGATTGAAGAAGTGAACAACAGTAAACGTAAAGGTGAGGAAACTGGGATCGGTGGTGGATCGTCGAAGAAACATCGTTGGATGACTGTTGATGAATTAGAAGAAAGTCGTTTTGGTAGAAGCAAAAGTTATGGAAGAGTGCACTGTAAAGCCACTTATAAATGCGCTGTGAGTTTTAGCAAATTTATGAGTTCGCTTTCTTTCCGTTAAATTTCATTGAAGCAATATTATGCAAGAATTTCGCCAACTTTGTTAGCTGAGATATTACTCCTGATTTATTTTTTTATGATTCCGGCAAGCAGTATGTAGGAAACGTAAAATTGCCAGTAGAAAAGTAGTGTGCTACTTGGCCATTATACCTTGTGAATATTTGTACATAGTGTACCAACATTAAATATGATTTCAAAGCGGTTATTTCAAAACAAAGAAACTATAAGCCTCATCAGTTTGAGGTTATACTTTTTTGTTCTTTTTCCAATATTTAGGGCATGTTTTTCAATTACTTTTTATATTCAGGCAAGTAATTGAGTTTTGTTGTTTTTCTCAGATTTTTACGCATGAAGTTATGTGGAATTTCGTTCTGACGCAAATCTCGTTCATTCTTTATGAACATGGATAAGTATAAGTGATTGGATTATAATAAATGTGTAATAAAATAACGGTGAAAATGAACGAAAAAGGAATTCCAGTGAAAATTCTAAGACCGCTTGGATTATGTAGATTCGTATAATTCACAGAAAGGAGCACGGATACTTATCTGTTATTGTTCAATCTATCATTCACAGCTCTGCGGAAAGCCAACGACATTAAATTCGACTGGTTCACGATGGAATTTGTTACGGCATGTGATAATGATTCATTCTGATTCAAAACCATATCAATGCTGGGATTGTGACTTCATCGGAATCAAAAGCAACGTCATCTCACATGCTCGTCAGACGAATCATCGTAGTGACGATGCTCACGACATCACGTCAGTTGAATTTCGTTTTTTTTCATAATTCATGATACGTCTTCTATATCCCTCTTTCCTTTTCTTTTTATTCTTTTTCTCTTCTATAATCCTCTTTTTTCTATCTTCTATAATGTGTATACGGTGAAATACTTAGAATTATAATGTTGACTAAAGATTTATAGGGAATCTGCGTCGGTTAGTAAGAAGGATGAATTTGAATTTTGTAATTAAATTCAATTCATTTCATATCGAGCTGATGCTATAAGAGTAAATGAGGCAAGAGCTACTGAAGAGATGGAAAGATCCAGAAATGACATATGATTGAAATCATTATAGTAAAAATTTGAACTAAATTTATAAATACTTTTCACATCACTTAAAAATCAAATAGTATACCTTACATTATGCAAGGATTATGCTATAAAATTTCTAACTGTAGATCAGATAAAACTGTTGTTGATAAAGCAATTAAGTGTACATTTTTCCACTACAGGAACTGTTAAAAAGTAGTATTATAACAATAATGAAATATAGAGACTTTCAGGACAGATTTGATGCGTAGCGAGTGGAACACCATGCTGCATCAGTGCTTTCCAGATTATGTGAAGGCGAAATCACGTGGCTGGCAAGCTGGTCATGATGAAGTAGACGGCGATTCCGTTACTACTGCTATTGATTCCCCAGACATTAAACCCGAGGATTAGCTATATATTTGTATTATAGAACAAATACAAACATATTATTTGTATTTCTCCATTGTTTCATGCCAAATTTAAGATTTAACAGCACAGTTATTTTTACACTGATATTATTGTTGAATTCTTATTTTTATAATGCTTGAAGAGGTTTTTTCTTCTAAATTCTAACATTCACTTATTCATGTTCCTTATATGACTATTCCTCTTGCCACTATCTCTTTTCACTTGCCTACTTTGTGATATACCGAATTGTTGCCTTGCTAAGTGAATACTCTTTTGACGGGTGCTTTTTATCCGAAATACTATCAAAATATTATACGTATATATATATATATAATACTTATTCGACTGGGTATAATTTTCAATTATGTGAACAGCGTACAAATGACTTCTTACCTCACAAATTCAGCAAATCGTTTTCTGAAAAGTTTGTATTTGTTATTCGGTTTTTGCGAATTGTCAAAATGAAGCATTTGGTAAATTCAAATTGTCCTTGGCTATTCTCTGTCAGCTATGAAACGAGATAGGCATACGATGCTTACGGAATATGGCTAACATTCATAGGATATCAACCCTCTCACTGGTTAAACGAGTTCAAACTATTTTCGGTTGGGTTTCGTGATGTTCTTTCAGAACTTATCACGAAATTTAATTTTATAACAGCTGGATTAGAACAGATTATTCTTAATTCCCCTACTGTTCGGATGTGTTTATAACAGTTTATTTTTGTATTCTTGATTTTTTGATGAGATTACAGGATTAATATGTAGTTGATAAGCGCATCAAAAATTCTGACTCAAAAAGCAGTTCTTATAAGTAGGAAGGAAAACATTAATTGGTCATAATTTATTACACTATAGTGGTCGAATGTAATAGGCATGTATCCGACAATTAATTACTCGTATTAATTCGATATTCGATTAATTAAGGGGGGCGCAGTGGCTTAGTGGTGGAAGTGCCGCAGTGACACGCCGGCCCGAATCAGTTCGCTGCCGCCCACCAGGCCTACCAAGCCCGCCATTCCTCCGGGGGCGGTAAATTGGTACCAGACAAATCTGGGTAAGATAACTGGCACTGACTTGGTGAAGAGTGGTCAACTCAAGTCATTGTATAGACCAGGCACGCATTCAACCACCTCCACGATATCACGTTGAACATGAATGCGTTGGCACATCCCGCCACAAGGGATTGATCAACGCCAACAATTATCTATCTTATTTTATTAATTCGACTGCATCTATAAATTTCCAAAAAAATGTGTGAATGCGTAGATGCAGATTGAGGAGCGTGAGTCTCTGCAATGGGTTCTCATTTAATCAACAAATACTCTTGTATACCTCTTAATATAATCTCTATTTCTTTAAATCTACGGTTTTTAACGCATTATTGATATAAACAGGGAACTGATTCGCAAAAAGTTACTCAGTGACGAATGAATAAGTGCGCCTCTTGAAAACACGATACATTTCATAGTTAAAAAATGCTATTGATACATTTATGAGTTTTTCATCGATAATTAATTAACCAATGTTGAAGTATTAAGAAAGTGCTGGTGAAGTACACTTATTTTTCTAGTCCTGTTCTTAGTCGTCATGATAATTTCATGAAGGTGGCTCATCATTCCATCGAAGCATTTGCAGTGTTGAAATCAATCGAACATTGATTTCATATGAAATACGAAATAACATCTACGTGGATAACGTGGTTCTTACATCAACTTCGACAAATCGAGCAATGAAGAAATATACAGAAGCAAAACAAGTTTTCAAAGATATGGGAATGAACATAAGAGAATTCCTCACGAATGACAGGGGTTTAATGAAGGGAATGGAACAAACATATCGAGTGACAATATCAACGCTAAAGGTATCGCATAAAGTGGAGAAATGATGAACTATCATTATCCTGCAAGTAATCACTTACGATGAGAATAACTAAAAGATCTATTGCGGAACAAGTAGCCCGAATCTATGACGCACTGGGATGGTTACTACCATTGACATTTCGAGGAAAGCTGTTCCCACTAAGTTTATGGAAATCATGGTAAAAATAGGATGAACCCTTGTCACAACAAGATCAGCATGAATGGAAGAAAATAGTTGATAGTACAAACTATTACGCAATAAGTATTTCAAGAATGATAGTGGTCTTGAAAACTCCAATCAAATTAGTAGCATTCTCAGATGCTAAAAAAACAGCAATAGCGGCCTGCTAATATCTCGTTTTAAAAACGAAGTCTCGGCTATTAGTTGGTAAAACAAGATTAGCTCCGTTGAAGGGCAAACACACAATACCAAAACTTGAAATAAATGGCGTGAAAACGGGTATGAGAATATCTCATACAGTTCAGTTAAGTATAAAGCGTTATGCATCAACGGAAAGCATAACTATATTACCAGAATCAGAAGTCGCGCTTGATTGACTGAAAAAACCTGGGATCGATACAGCAGGAATACTATTGAACAAGAGAGTCAACGAAATAAAAAGTATTATCCAATCAACGAACACACCATTCAAATTCGATGATGTGAGAATGAAAGACAATCTAGCAGTCTGCGCAACCAGAGTCCTAAACAAAGACGAAGTCGCAACCAACATTTAGTGGTTTAGTGGCAGAATGCTTGATTGCCACGTAGGCGATCCGGGTACGATTCCTGACTAGTGTACAGGTTTCTTGTTGGTTCTTCGTGTTTGTACTGCTCTTCATACCTTGGCCTACCATGCGGGTCTTCATTTAGATTGCGGCTTCTACCTCAGAATTGGGTAATTAAACCTTTATTCAAACAACACGCAAATATTACATCAAGATTACAATAACGATAAATCAAGAATGTATCAAAAATAATTACTTTAATGGATAATATAAGATTTTAAAGATGCTATTACTTTTGAATAATTAGATTCTTTTATTGTAATAATAGTAGAATGGAACCAATGAGTCGAAAATAATTTGTTGTCCACGATTTCCACAACATTTGCCTTGAGAACCAAACTGGCTTCTTATTCTTTTCATGTTTTTTTTTCTTTTAACAGCCTTTTACCGAAATTTAGATGTAGAATGGAGTATGTTAATACCAAATCCAAAAAAGCAAACAAGAAACGTCCCAGGAATTCGGTTAAGGTCAATCCATTTTTCTAAAATTGCTCCATCTGTCGTTCAAACCAATGGAAGGGCCGACAAGGGAAATTTTTTTGAACAGGTCGTTAGTAGTTAGTTTTCGTCGAGAATACGTCAGATAACTGACGAATTATCATTGAATTTTGGAAATCTATTCCATGGTCCTGAACAAATATGTAATTTAAGTTTCTTAGGAATTAAGGAATGGTGGCGCATAATGACGTACAATCTGCGCATCTGTTTTGACCCAGTATAAAGTCGACCCGTCATTGTGACCGGAAATGAGGAATGGGTGCTACACAATAGTTGTGTGCTGAGAAGACTTTTCGGAAAAATATCTCTTCCAACTCCTTCAACCCACTACCGTCATCAATATAGAAAGTGATGGTCCTTCGTCTCATTCTTTAACAGTTCTTTTCAAAAAATTTTTTTTCTTTTTTACAGGATGATTGCTGCGTAATAGAATTCAGTTTAATCATTACCAAAAATAAGGAAACGATTACTCAACAATCTTCAATAATCTCATCAATCATTCTGATTTATAGCTATAAAACGATTCAGTTTCCTGTCCTCAGTAATACAGTGGTACCAGCATACGCCACTGCAAGACACGAGTCTAATCCTCTGAATATGTCCTTTTCCGAAATCGAAATCAACGTCTTTGGGATGCATTCATGTCATTCAAATTCAAGCAACATTTCCAAACATCGTGATCAGATGGCCCTCCAAATGTCAGTGCTGTTCTATTATGTCGGAGAAGTACTGATGGTACCAAGAAATAGAAAAATGGTAAATCTGGTTTACAAGTATCGCGATCAAGCAGGACAACTCTACATGCACCTGCAGCATCACAAATTTCTGCATTTGTTATACACTTCACGAAGGAAGAATATGTGCGAATGAATTTCACATAGTGTCAAAAATCGAGACATAAAGTGATCAAAAAACTGAATGTTGCTATTAATAATACGACTAAATAGTGTTATAATCAACAAAGAGTACACTGAAATGAGTTGTGATGGTTGAAACAGAGTGCCGAAAAGAAACTGTACTATGATTAATCACAATTAAAATGAAAGTTCACCTACACCAATTTAGTGTTGGTCCCGTACATGGAAAATCATTAATTTCAGAGATTTCCAGAATGCATCTATTCGGGTTCCATTTTATTTCCTTTGGATTTCACATTTCTCTTTATTCAATTATTATTTGCTTCAGGAAATAAATTAATCAAAAATACGGTGATCATCACAATAAATAATATGGAGAAATCTCCCGGGCATATAATGGATGCCTCATAGTGTTGGCATGTACCGCAAGAGTTCTGTTGATGCACCAATTTGTAGTGGTGTCAGTGGCGTTGAAACAAATAGGGTCTGATAGGGCCTCAGTCGACGCAGCAAATATGCTGAATGGCCAGTGAGACTAGTGTAGAGAATATCGAACTTCGGTAAACAAACTTTCATATAATATATACCAATTGACAATAACAATAAGTAACAGACATTAATATAATACGGTATGCAGTGATTGTACTGTGTAGAAATTGAATGCTTAAGCCTTATAGAGAAATATAGCAAAGAGATATGTAAAGAGTAACAAGTGAGAACAAATCGTATAGTTGACAAAAACGACTGATCACACCTAATGCGTTAAAATTGATGTTGTTAAATTTATATAGAAGATTAAGAGAGAAACAATAATTAATGAAAAATAAAGGATAGACGTATACCATAATAGTACTGAATAGAGTAGTGTTTATATAGACTGTAGGCCCCACTCTTCTTCAGCTGTCCTGCAAGTGCTCGGCCACGACCTCAGAAGCACTATTTGAGCCAGCTGTGAAGCAAAAAGTTGTATTGATTACCGTGACTGATTGTTATGGAATGTCAGATGTAGAAATGAAAAGTGTCAAACAATATACAGTAATGGGAAAGCTTCTGGCCACTTTTTTTCGACAATATGTGATATTAGATCGAAAATGTTTGTGGGATTGTTGTTGAACATTAGTAGTAATAAGTAATAGGTATTTGTATTTAACAGTGAAGTATTGCCAGATAATGGTTCTTGGTAACAGAAGAGATGATGAGTGTAGTTATCTAGTTGTAGAATACGGTGATTCGTTCGTGAAAGAGAAAGATTAGTTAAGTATTGAGAATCTTCTCTATATACCTTCGCCAAAGAAAGAATGACGCTGGTGAGCAAACAAGCAACAGCAAGGTCACTTCTAGGCTCCATGTAGACAAAAAATTTTTTCCTCCAACATGTTTTCTTCACAGCGCAGAAAAAAAGATAATCTGATGGAGCAAACGTAAAATTACTTGGTAGACGCGATGACACGGTCAAACCCAATTTTTTCAAAAGGCGGTCAGTAGATTTAGTAATGTAATATTGACTGTTATAATGGAAATGGACGACACTGAGTCGTTCTATATGGTCCTCTCGCATCACTGCGGCCTACTTTTCGAGACGTTTACCGTAGACGTCGGCAATTATTTTATTTATTGTGTATTTTGACAAGCAGTTTTAAAAACACTATGTGATACCAATTCCAGAGAACCAGAAAAATACTTTTCCGATTATCTGCTTTAGTATAGTGAAGAGTCTTTGTCGCTATGCAGCTGGTCGTAGTTTTGTAGTCTGTTCAAGTAATAAATTCAGAACTCAGCTCGGTAGACAATCAAATGGATGGAATTATGTTGTGCTGTCGCAGCAAAGGCTTTTGCAGATGATTTTACGTACAGCGAAGTCGTCGTATTCGATCAATGTAAGATGTGACTATCGAGATGTCACTTTGTGTTAGCAAATTTTATTTGGTTGGCAAGCAATTGTGCTATAATCGTATCAGTCCGTCTGCTCCAAATTGCTGATATTACCATCCGGATGCATTTTTAGCTAGTGAATAGTAGATTATTTATCAAAAGTGACTGGCTAGGCATAGTGAAATTGACTTTAACGGCTTGTATTCTCTATGTCAAAGCAGTTGCTAATTCATCTATCACTACAACATTTCTCGTTTTTTGTCTCTTTTATTACTAATAACATGCAGAGCGTCAGAAATCGAAACAAAATTAGCATTTGTCTAGGATTTATCTGCTTCGCGTTGGCGTATAAGCTCAAAAGTTCTTGGAGACATGCATCTGTCAAAAATTTTCAAGCTGTGCATTTTTTTGCATTCTCGTGAGTGTGCTAAACCAGTCGGCTACTAATCTCGTCCATGTTCCATTTTTGGAATAAAACAAAATGCAGTCTCTTGTTACTTTAAAAAATGTTTATTCTCTTGAGGCGAAGAATTGGAATTGGAACGTTACTCCTCCGAATTATTGTTCATGTTTGAATTTTTTGCCTCCCAAAAAGTTTTCGAAGAACAAAAGAAATCCATAGTTACGCTGAGATAGCCGCAAAATTCGGAACTTCAGGCAAGAACCCGCACTTACAGATATCCAGTCTGCCGAGCTGATCAATTATACTACCAAGGCCCTTGCTCTACGACCACTCAATGCTTCACTTATAGTAAGTAGGTATCATTATCAGCACTCGTCCATTAACCGGTACGATCTGGTGGGCCGAAATTGGCATAGCATCGAGTTAAGCTGACAACTGCGGAATAACCCGAAATTTCAGACATATTCGTAATTTTATTTTGTTTTGCAGTGATATTATACTGTCCGTAGTTATGGCGAGATAAGTGGAGCATCGAGTGGTCGTAGAGCTAGAGCTTCGGTAATGGATCAGCACGGCAGACTGGATATCTGTAGGTGCGGGTTCGAGTCCCGCCTGAGGTTACGAGTTTTGCGGCTATCTCAGCACAACTACGGACAGTATAATATAATTGCAAAACTTAGTATAATTACAAACAAAAGAACTGTTGGACGAAGGTCTAGAGAGTTCTAGAGAGATGCCGGAGGTAAGGTCCAGAGAATATGATGGATGTAACACATTTTTCCAGCTTAGTTCAGCAGTTTTTTGAAGAGTCCCAATCATTATGCAGTATGATACCCTTATTAAATATCGTAGACCTCTTTTCTTGACTGCTGTCTTTGAATTATCCAGTTGCTGACTAAACTTCTTTGAAATGAGCTTTTTGTTCGGTTTCACATTGGATCGGTTGTCGAATATGCACAACATTATTTTGTTTATAATTAAATTTAGTTAAAAAGTGGAAAATTAAAGTCTTTCGGATTCACAATATATCCTTTAGTTTAAGATGTTCGTAGGTTACCCACTCTTTATCCATTCATCATCCGGTTTACCGCTCTTTTCAAGAAAGGCTTGATTTTGTTCCGAGCAAACAGAGATGTACATTTGACCACTTGATCATCTAAATTCTTCTCATTTAATCTAATTTAATCTATCTAATCTAATTCATCTAATTATTTTTCATGTGGCACCTATCTTGAATATTTCCATAAGAACCCTATTTTCCAAATATGGTCTAGACTGATTTGCTGTACTGAGTGAAGCCTTTGCTCCAATATTTTCAGAAAAGGATTCTGCTCTGAAATGGTCCTAACATCATCGTCGTAGATCAAAAATGGTCACAGGCAT